CATGCAAACTGCCCCAGTTTGCAGGCAGTCTGCCTCCAGTTTGCCCATCTAATACCCTTCTCCCCACTCTGATTACATTAGTGACAACCCTTTCGGTCTGCTTCAGTCCCAGTGTATTGTTTTTGAACAGGAGCTCCCAAACCCTAACACACAAACCCCCACTCGTGTTTCGGTGTCAGTGCTTTGCTCAGTGATGACACTCTTGGTACCTGTTGGCACTCCCGTCTCCTGTTCCAGCTGCTGGTAGAGCTTGTTTGAATAGTGTGCCATCTTCAGCTCTATGGACACGGGCCTGGCTGTGCTCACAATGCCTGCACAGAAGCGAGTGGTACCAGCAGCCAACCTGCAGGAGAAGGTGCAGAGAAGGGCCTCATCAGGCTGCCAGGAACACACCCCTCACCAGGCTGCTCCAGCAGCTCTGCTGGCAGCACAAGCCAGACAGCAAACTCTGCCCCAGACACATCAGAGCAACACTAAGTTGGATGATACAGGGATAATACAACCTCTAGAATGATCTTCCTTCAGCTCGTGTTTGAAAACACATTGCATTCCAAAACACTTCTCTTTAGTCCTAAATGCTGACATTTTTCAAAGAAAGCATGTTTTTTAAAAAAGTTACCTTATGCTTAAGTCGACCTGCCTTATTTTCCTGCTCTAAAGCAGGACTTTCCTCAAATCAAAATTAACTTGGATTTGAGTCTTGTGTCTTCGCAGATCGCAGTCGGAGCAAGTCCCTCTCACGTTCTGCAGCAACTGCCACAGACAGACACACGCCTCTTGTCCCTTTTAAAACTGCCCTTAAACCACTGAGCTATTTGGTGAAGGGCTGCTGTAGTGACAGAAACCCACAGCAACTCCTTGCAGCACGGACAGGGGAAGACAAGATCATTAGATTTAAGCATATCCCTCGCAACCTGCTTCCACAACGCTTCCAAGTCATCTTTCCTGCTGCTAAAGCCATCGTGCATTTTCCCACTTGACATGACTGCTTTTGGCCCGGTGTGTCCGTATTCCCTCAGCAATTAAACCTCAGAATCAGCTGAGTCAGGTGTGTCAGATGTGTCAGATACTGTGTTTGCTACACCCCTACTCACCAACAACTCAAATAGCCAAAGCACAGTCCCCCCATGCTCTGCTCCACATAAGACATTTCTGCCCATGCAATGCTCCTCTTTCTCCTCGAGCAGGCACAGACTGAGCCTGCACAGCATCGTACTCATTGCAGGTCTCTCACACCCTGCTCCGAGGTAGCAAAGACAACATTCCCTTACAAACGAAGCCCAGCACCTCATTTCACTCAGAAGGACACTGCTCACAAGGTCTCAGAGGAGACTATCCGATTTCTTCTCTTTGCAACTATAAAGAACCTGATGCCACCTGCTCCCCAGCCACATAAACTCCGGGAACCATGGCTAAATACTCCTGAAGGCAGCATCAGAAGCGAAGTTTTAGTCTAGACACCTACTCAGGGTGTTAGAAGCTGCTGCAATAAACACTTCTTCAAACCCTGAATTCTCAGCACTGTCTCTTACCCAAGGTCCCCAAATTGCTTAACGAAAACAACACAAATCTACCTCAGAAACACAAGTCTAAACAACAGGTAAGGGCTGCACAGGTTTCAGCAGGAACCACGTGCTCTGCCACAGACAGATCCAACTCACAGAGGGCACTTGTGCTCAGCCAAACCTTGGCTGTTTCACAGGCGGGCACTAAACCCTGCAACAAACCCCATAATCCCAGCCTTTAACCAGCTTACAGGGTGATGTTTCAGTGATGGCTGCTTAGAACCCCCTGCAATCTCTGGAGCTTTGCTGGCTGTGTAATGCTTTAGACACACACAGCATCCTGATTCCAGAGGTCAACAGGGGCCGGAGGAGTTACAGGGTTTTTAGTTCTCTTGGAATGGTCCATCCTTGCTGGCTGCACCGTGTTTGACACCATTACCTGCAACTACACCAGAGCAGACACACATCCCCCAAAGGAACTGTGATCCACGGAAAACCCACGCCAGGGCAGAGCTCTCCTGATGGAAACTGCAGCCTGTGGAGGACCCACGCTGGAGTCCTGCACTGATCCCACCCCACTGTTCACCCCCTGTGTTTCTTGGGGCACTGTGGGGAGGTAGAAGACCCTGGAGTGCAGGAGTGAAAAATAAGCATGGGAAAGAAAAGGTAGTGTTTTTTAATGTTTGGGTTTTGTTTCTCACTACCTGAACCTACTTTAACTGGCATGAAATAAAGTAATTCCTTATTTTAAATTAATTATCCCTAGGGCAAGTCTTTTTTGCCCATGGCAGTACAATCTCCACGCCTTCATCCTGATCCACAAACTTTCTCAGCTTACTTTCTCCCTGCCTTTCCCTGAGGGAAATGGCACGGCTACCCCACCACGACCACACAAGAGATACCCTTCACCTGTGCTTGGGAAGAAACAGCAAGTGTCATTATTAATGTTCAGTATGTCTTTATTTCATCCAGGGGAAAGGTTATTTCCAGCTCTTCACCTCAGTGCAGGTGACGAGGTGGAAATAACACATTCCAACAGATGCTGACCCTCATGGAAGTCCTGTTCCGCTGGTTTTGTCACCAGAAATCCTTACCTGCCCTGCTCAAGTAAGACTATATCCTTCCAACCCATCTTGGAAAGGTGATATGCAACGGAGGTGCCGGTGATTCCACCGCCACAGATGACAACCTGTGCCTGTGCTGGCAGGGAAACCGGGTGAGGCTCTGCTGTGGTCGAGGTGCTTCTCCGGGAGCTGGTCATCCTCCTCCATTTCGGGTTGGCTGCCCGCCACTGGATATCGGACAGCAGGCGGAGAAACATCCCGGCAGCGCTCTGGTAGCTTCCTTAAAGCACCACCGAGATGTGCTCAGATGTTACCCCAGCACCACTCCTTCTAGGAAGGAAAAGATGAGAATCACGTTACCACTTATCTTATTACACACAAGGCTGGCAGGGGGAAACATCACGTGGTGTGACATGGGGAAGGTGATGAGCAAACAGACAGGAGAGCAGTTATTCAGTCCTGAAACAGCAGCCTCGCTGGTAAGACTCGAACTCAGATCGTAAAATGGGAACAGAGCGTTACACCTTTGGTTTTGACACAGGGCAACTTGACAACGAGCAGAGAACCAGAGGGAAGCTGGAAAAGCTCTCACGCCACAGGCAGAGCCAACACAGCCAGCAGGCACGGACCATGCTCTGGAACGCTTCACAAAGGCTGAGGTTAACAGGGCGGAAACAAGCCTGATTATTAACGCTGCCAGGCCTTTACCTGCGGAAAGAAACGAAGTCTGTGACCAGAGTCACTGGCACAGGGCACCGCGGAGGCCTCTCCAGGAACAGCTTTGCCACAAGCCGTTCCCCAGGGCCCGGATGCGGCAGCAGCGGGGTGGGCTGGGGGTTCCCTCGCCCGCAGCCTGCGGGAGCCTGAGGGGCGGGGTGTGAGGGCGGCGGGGTGTCAGGGAGCCGCGGGGCGGGGAGCCGCAACCTCGGCCTGCTCGCCCCCGACCCCGCGCTGCGGGGTGGCCGGGAGGGGAAGGAGGAGGGTCCGGGGCGGTGGCAGGGGGGGGGCAGGGGAGCGGGGCCGGGCCGGGGGTCGGCGGGGCCGGGGGTCGGCGGGGCCGCGCCGCCTCACCTGGGGCAGGGGGAGGCCGGGCTGACCTTCCGCGCTTTACGGCCGCGGCCGCCGCGCGACAGCCGCCCCTGCGCGTGCGTCACCCGCCCCCCCGCCCACACAGAGGGCGTGGCCTCGCCCGGCCCCGCCCCCCCCGCGCGGTCCCCCTCAGAAATAAACCACCACAAGTACAAACCTGCAGACTCTTTTTATTAAATTCTCCCATTTCGTCTGTACAGAAAACAAACAAACAAACAAAAAAAATGCACATTATTATGTTCAGAATTTCAGTAACATCTCAAAATTACACAGCATGGACATGTAAAAAAAAAAAAACAAAACAAACCCCAAACAAAACAAACCCAAAAAAGGAACGACCAAAACGAGGAGCGGCCAGGATTTATACACAGAAAAGGGGAAACCATTTACAAAAAAAAAAAAAAAAAAAAA